ATTTCATAGAATGAACAGGCAGAATTATTTTGTGTGGCAAACCTTGGAACAAGATAGACTATTGAATTATAACCAGCCACACTCAAAAACTTTAATACACTCTGATAATCAAAGGGCCTGTCTTAGCAGGAGCACTTCCTTACAGAGTCCACTTAATCCAAATATGCTGCCAGACCTTGCTTAAACCATAGCGGGCATAATCATCGGGACGTGCTGTTGTACTTGCCGCCACCATCCCCAAAACCCAGAATAACCAACATGACTTGAGCTATGGACTCTGGTGGAAAACCTCCCATGGAAGACACCTGCCTCCCCAGAGTGCTCCCAAGGTGGACTCAGGCTGATCAGGTTTCTCACCAGAAAACCTCCTGCCAGAGGTGGCACACAACCTGCCCAGTTCCATGGGAGGAAGACCCAAGTCCCCCCCTGACCCCTTCACTAGTTGCACAGGGTATCCCTTATGGTCCATGTATGTATGTCCACGAGCCTAAGCAAGCACACAGAGTGGGGTGCGTGTCTCTTTATCCATTCGGGCACATGCGCATGTACAGAGAAACCAGAGTGATGTCTGGAGCTTTGCCTTTTATAGCCAAGGCTGCTGCCGCCCAAAGGAATGAATTGTCCTTTGGCCAAGGCTCTCGCTGTTTCTTTATGCACCCGCTCCCCTCCCTTTCACATGTACACATGAGCTACATTTTCATAGTTGAAGGAAAGGACGACAAAGCAACTACAGTGAGAACGGCAGCAGGGTATCTATAGCAGGGAACGTGGCATGCACAGCCTAGCCGTTAAGCTCCTCTCCAAGCCAAGCTCCCTCTCTTTTCCCCTGCCCCACAATGTGCTTTAGGAAGGGGAATCCATCCACGTTCTAGTCCCTTCTCTGTATGGCATGCTGGGTATTTTAAGCTCTTCTGGGAAATCCTTTCCCCCAGTGGCTGGCAAGTAATTAGATGCCGGAATCCCCAAGAACAGAGGGGAGTGTAGGGGAACCCAGCAAGGTCACTGGGTATTTTGGGGGGGGGGGGGGAAGAATGCTGGCCGAAGCAGGCAGATGGACCCACAGATGACGGTATGATGTGCCTACACAGCAGTAACTTGTACACCCCTTGTACAAAAATACCCTCCGCAGCAAAAACACAATCCATCCAGACAATGATTAGCAGTACAGAAACAAGCAAGAGGGTGACTCTGTGTGTTGACAGCAATAAATTCATGCATTCATCATGCACAGACAAGCTGCTTTGATTGGCTGCCTTGGGTCCCACATGGCTAAACTATCTTTAAAGTGGTTCTGCACATATAACACTCACCAGCACCCTAGAGTGTTTTAAACCATAAAGCCACTGAGAAAATCTATAATCTATAGTTAGCCTTTTTGTTTTTAAAGGTACAACTGGCCATCTCAGGTCAGAAATCTGAGAATATGGGATCTTGAAATTATACGCTCTTTGCATTTTAATGATGCAAAACTTGCTGCTCTTCAGAATGTATAGACGCGGTGGTTTGAAACAAGGCTGGGTACTGTTAACGTCTGTATCTGTTTTGATTAGGTCCAACATAAGACGACCACAGGAACCCGTGGCCATTGCCATAAATAATATTAAAATTTTAAAAAGAAGAGATTGACGCATGAAACTAGATCTGCTGCCTTGCTAAAAATGACTGCAAACTTTCTCTTTGACAAGACCCACACACACACACCATGTAGCAGCTGACTCACAGAAAAGAAATTATTCTGCAAATCTCCAAGGTGTTTGGTTCGACACTAGAGGTGGAAGGAATTCTTGGCAAAAAGAAGCAGGTTATTGGTTTCAGCCAAACAAAGCCATTACAGTAAACATTTGCTGTCCCGCCAGAATCCAATTGTACTGTAGGTTTTTTTTTTTAAAGATAACAGCAGACTTCTCACTTTCCTCTAAACTGTTGTTGGGAGCTTACCTGGGGATTATCTCTTTTTATCCTCATAGTCTGTCTATGAATCAGTTAGGCTGAGACTGATTGAGTATTAAAGTAACATTTTCTTGCCTTCCTGGACCTCCCCAATCAAAGCTAGGAATACAGCTGATTACTTTGGGCACCAGTATCAATAAGCTGAGCAGTGATACGATGCAGGAATAATTCCTTTCCCCATGATAAGAATCCATTCCTGGGAGAGCCAAAATGTTTACTCAAGTTATCAGAGTGCATAGTTAAAATGATTGGTGAGCCAGTCATTGTGTTTTCATAATCGCCCCTTTTAGCACTAAACAGCAGTTAGACAATCTTCTCAAAAAGTATCTTTAGTTCAGTTTGAATGGGTGACTACAAGGAAATCTCAAGGTTGGCAGCAGCAAACCAGTTCCACACTGTTGCCAAGAAAACCAGGACCAAATTATCAGGAGTTGTCATCTTGAGAAGGACCATGGTTTACTTTAACAATGTTATTTAGTTGTTAAAGAAGTATTCTTCCTGCTTTCCTTTCTCACAGTGAAACCTTGGAACTTGTTACAATTCCCTCATTTCCAATAGGAAGGGAGGGAGGGAGGGAGAGAGGGAAGAAGGAAGGAAGGAAAGAAGGAAACCTAGATTTTCTCCGGACTTCCTGAAAAATGCACTCTCTACCACGTACCAGTCTAATTGAGGAACAGTCTTTTAAGCTTAGTCCAACCAATCTAAGGATAATTCCTTGTAATAAAAACTCATAGTCATATACAGCAGATTCATTATTGGTCTTTGAAAGACTATTTTCGTCTAATTTATTTTCTTAATTTTTGGTTTTTATCCCTTCAGATAATCTGCTGCCATTAAATCCGTTATCTAGGCTAACAGGCTGGGTGACTAACGTAGGCATATAAGTCTTTAAGAAACAAAGAGAAGAACCCCCAAATCAGAAGGTTGCACTTTTCCCCACAAATCCATTTTATTAGTCTGAAAAGGGGCTACCAGCTACTTTCCTGATTTTTGAGTATCACTCTTCCCACAAACAGAAAAAAGCTCTCTATTCTGTCAAGAGTTTTGCAATGGATTGCCATGCCTCACCCTTGTCCACCCCAGTGCCCCCTTGCAGCTTTCTCCCTTCTCCCAATACTGGCATGCCCACCCAGGAGAGGAGGCGCCACCGGAAGGCAAAAATACAGTCTTACCCGGGACTCACCTGAACGACTTTAAGCCTCTCTTACCTTTGTAGGTGAGATAAACCCGAGGCGCTCCCGTCTGGCTGCTGTGACCCAAACAGCAGCAGAACAACAGCCCCAAAAGGAGCAGCGTTGCCCAGGGCACCATGGCGGGGTCAATCCTCGAAGCAGAGAAAGGGTGGTGATGATGATGATGATGATGATGATGCCCAGCTGGACCTGGGTTCGAACGACGGAGGATGTTGGAGGCAGAGGCGCCGCGTCGCTGCGAGGAAGCGTTGGACGGGCCCGGGCCTAGAGGGCGCTGTGCGGAAGTAACCAAGATCAAAGTTCCCTTCCTCGCCCGTCCCACCGGGCCCCGGGCCAAGCAGCTGTAACCCGAGTGCCGGCCCGCGGCTGATAGGCACTTCAAAGGCTCGCTCTCTCCCGGCCAGCTCCGGTAGATTTCTCTCCCCACCCCCCCACCCCTCCCCTCCCTTCTTGCAGGCTAACAGACCTTTGAAGTTGGGGCTAGAGAATGGGAGATCCAAGAGAGGTTCCTCTTTTTCCACACACCCCAAAGAAAAAAAGAAAGAAAAAAAAAAGTGGGGGGGGGAGAGAAGCAGACTACCTTACCGGGCTCCGCCTGCATCGCTAAGAGCCCCCCACTCCCTTGGAAAGAGCGACCCCTGCCGGGGTCCGACACGCAGGCGCTCCAATATAGGGAGAGAAGCCGAGCGGGGAGGATCCTTTCATCTTGGGACGGCCCCCTTCATTCTGGAGAGGGCACTGAGGTTCGAGCTGCCATTCTGGACGCAGGCTTGGGCTTCGCCGTGGCCTCCTGACGCCATCACTCTCAGTACAAGGGACGCAGGAACGGCAGCAATCCCTCCCCGCACCCCAGCCGGGCTATAATCTTCCCCATGCCACAGAACAGGTGCCCGGGGACAATGCCAGCAGCAAGTCCATCCTGCACCAGCCCAGCTCCGGGATTCGGTGCCAACAGGGCCCGTCGAGGGCTTTTGATCTGCCTGCCAACCCCGCTTACCACTCCCCCCCACACACACCCCACTCTGCCCCCCCCTCCCCGTCCCGGAGCGGGTGCCTGCATGCGTTAATGTGTGAGTTTTCTGCGCGCTCCGTCCTGTCCTGTCCGCGACGTGCTGCGACCTGCCCCTCCCATACCTGAGCCAGGTGCAGCGGAGGAAGCAGCGCAGGCTGGGACTTGGAGTCGATTGCCCTCCACCCTCAGGCCCCCGTCGATTGCCCTCCATCCTCAGGCGCTTGGAAGACGCGTCCGCCTGCCCCGTTCAAAAACCTTCACCAAACTTTCGCTTCGGGTCGGGCGGGCGGGCGGCCGCTTTCCTCAGCCTGGCAGGAAGAGCACAAAAGCCGAGCTCCGCGTCCCCCACTCCCCCGCGCCCCCCGAGGGCGACTGCGGCGCCCTTGCTCGCCTTTTCCCATCCCAGGCAGCTAAGATGCTTGGCGAGATTTCAAGGGAGCCGCGGGCTCGCCTGCCTCTGCTCCGCATGTGGCTGCATCTCCGTCAAAGTTGCCGGCTATCCCCGAGGCAGGTTTTCCACACACACACACACATCCCTCCCCGTCCGGAGAGAAGCGCTTCCCTGAAGTCTCGCCAGGCGTCTTGCCGGCTCGCCGCGAAGAGAAGCGAAGCCCAAGCGGCTTCCGCCGTGGCACCGCCGGCGGTTTCAAGAAAGCGCCCGGGCATATCGAGGATAGGCTGAGTCCACAGGCAAAAACCGTGGGGAAGGAGGGGGGGGAGGAGGAGGAGGAGGAGGAGAGGGGAGGGCGTGCGGGGCAGAAAAAGGTAGCAAAAAGCACCGCGGAGGAAACGAGGGTCCGGAGCTGAAGTCCGACGGCTTAAGAGGACGGGAGCAAAGTGGTCCCTTACCCCGCGGTAGCTCTCCGCTCCGAGATCGACTCCTCGGGTTTAGTTCCAGTCAGCTCTTCTGTGCCCGGGGAAAAAAAAAAAAGCTTCTCCGGGATGTAGTTCTAACCCAGCGGGACAAGCGGCTTTGAGGAGGGAGGGACATGTCTCCTCGCACACAACCCCCCCTCCCCACCCGGATTTTATACCTCTGCGATAGGACTCGTGGCGCAGGGTTTTCCCTTGCAGCTCGGGGCTTCCCTGGAGCAGATAAGCAACACCCTGCCTCCCCCGAGGGGGCTGGGGCGGCTTAAACCCCTTCGCGGGGCGGCTCCTCCTAAAGCCAGAGGGGCTGTAGGTGGGGGTGGGGGCGAGCCCCTCACTCTCTCCTACCAGGATCTAAGGGCGGGAAACGAGGACCAGGAGGCGAACGGGGGACATTGCTGAGGAGATTGAACCAGGACTCCTCCATCAGATGTACGGGACGCTTTCACGCCTCCTTTCTCTTCCCGTTGCTGCTTGTGGCTGCTATATAGCCAACTCATAGAGCTGGGCCGGGCGCCTTTTCACCTGAGGCGTAGTGGCGGGAAGCGGCCGAGGAAGGAGGGAACTGGTTGTCACCCACCACCTTTCGATCCAGGAAAGCCCGGGGGCGGGGGGAGGCTTTCCCTTTAGAGCTATATGCAAGTTGTTAGCCGCACCGTTGATTCTCCCCAGCAAGGAGGGGAGGGGGCCAGAAACAGGGCCGAGCCTGGCAAGGAACATGAGAAGCGGGGGGAGATCAGGTGCTGGTGGATCGCAAGGAAAGGCGCTTTGACAGGTCCTGGAAAGCAGCAGCGAGGTGACTTTTAGGAGCAAGGCAAGGGCCTCCATCTTTTCCTTCCCGGTACTGGGTTTATAACTTGTTCTCAATGGCCTCCAAAGTCCTTCCTGACAAATTGCTTCGGAGAAAAAACGAAACGAAACAGGGAGCAATTCAGTATTCTGGATGTATCCGGGGTTGGAAGGAATTAGGACCAGATCGGGGGATGCAAAACCCTGGAGCACCGCTAGACGGCGCGCAGCAGAGACTTCCTTCCGTAGCGCTTTGCTGTGATTTTAGAGAGCCTCGGTCTGAACTGTTTCAGGCTAGAAAACTAGGCCGAAGCCTGCCCTGCCTGCCTCAGGCTTTGCTCTCCCTCAGCCAAACGGGCTAGCCACACGGATCCTCAAATGCAGCAGCAATAGGTTATAAAGGTAGGAATGGCTTCCTAACTCAGTTCAGACAGGGCCAGAGCTGCATCTGAAACTTCCAACCTATAGTTTGTTAGTTATTGCTCAAAAGCCTCTGCTGCTCCTTCAGAGGTTTTATATATACCCTTAAGAAGGACAAAATAAAATTCTTTGTTTTCCTGCTTGGAATTTGCTTCCTGGAGTTGGGATTATATCCTGCTTACATATCAAGGGAAGCCCAGGCTTCCAGTCTGGTCTAGTGAGGCTCTTCCTTAAACTTTTGGCCAGAGGGATTAATTAATTGTAATGCTAAAGAAAGAACTGCCAACATAGCAGCACAGACACACTCCAACACAAAGAGAACAATTAGATATAGAAAAGATAAATAGAAGAAAGTATGTTTCATGGAAGCTGAAGAGAGAGCATCTAACTAGGGCATCTGTCTGTGAAAGATCCAAAGGGATGACAGTAAATTACCCATTTTATTTCATTAATTTATCTGCAAAAAGTGTATTTGAAATGTACCACATTCCAAACTAATATTTTCCAGAAAATACAGCTGAGGTTGATTTTCTGAAAACGACAATGGATAAGAGCCTTCTGGACTGATCTGAGGGGTTTTATTTATGCTTCATTGCATAGTCAGTCAGATGTTCAGACTGGATTTGGCACTTTTGTCCTCCTATCCGGTCCTTCCCAAGAGCCTAGAGTAGGCCAATTTGGATGCTTGATGGTATTAGAGGTATTGTCACAGAATGTAAGCTGTTTCGAGTAAAACTGCCTTTTGCAATTGATCGATGGTGAATTTGTCAATGCTGCTGTTCAAGTAGTGCTCCAGCTGTTTTGGGATTGCTTTACACCTAAGGCATCTGTTACTATTGGTACTATCTTTGTTTTCTTTTGCAACAATAATTCTATTTCCATTTGAATGTCTTTGTATTTTGTTACCTTCTCTGGTTCTTTCTTGTCTATTCTGCTGTTTTTAGCTTACTGTCATGCCTATTATCCAAACTTATTTATTATTATTGTTGTTGTTGTTGTTGTTGCTATTAAATTTGTTTGCTGTTCATCTTGCTGCAAGGATTAAGAGGAAACCAGAGATGATCCAGTTGATCAAAACAACCCAACTAATTTGATACTCCTTTTCCTGAAGAGTTAAGCTGAACAAAATGGGAAGGTCCTGATTCATGGATGTTTAGTTAAAGTATCCTGCAGATACAAAGGAGCAGAAGGCTAACACAGGCTGAAGAGCAGTGTTTTGTAAACTTGGCAACTGTAAGATGTATAAATTCCAATTCTCAGAATTTTCCAGCCAGCTTGCTGACTGGGGAATTCTGGCACTTGGAGACTATGCATCTTAAGTCAAGTCTGAAAAACACTGACCTTGAGGGTACTTGTTTGGGGAAAGTAATGTTAACTGAGGGGTGTTAAAATGCCCAATTAGGATAAGAAATAGTCAACCAGCAAGAGCTTTTTCCCTGGAGCTTAAGGAAAATTGAAGGTTGTTTTGGTGGCTGAATTAAAAAGACATTGCATGGGGAGCAATCACAACTGAAAACTTAGGGTATGTGTGCATACAGATGGTCCCTGATTCTGTCACTAGTTAAAATGATGCAATAAGTGATGGAAAAGACCACTCTGTACCTGATAACTGGGAAACAGCTGGGCAGAATGATACATATTGCACTGAACTGGAGAGACTCAATTCTGGGAATTAAAATACAATGGCTCAGGTAACCAAAAAGCTTTAAATTCAACACCAGTATTTTCAATCAGTCTGGGAAAAAGGCTTCATCAGAAATCCTGTTAGGAAGAAGTAAATAAATCTGTAGTAGTTTAAGTAGTTTTTAAAATTTCTTTATATGCACTTTTCCTAAGAAGAGTCAGTGCAAGCTGTCCTCTGAAACTTTTATTTGTAAGTATAGAAAGCCAACATCCTTTTTGTGTTCACTTTTTAAAAACAGCATGTTAAAAAGTTATATTGTACAAACTGAAAATAAATCTGTGCGTTTTATATCTGGATTGATTTCCTGTCCAGTGTGTGCGTGGCTTTTTGAACGGCCATTGTCACCCCACTCTTCCTAATCTCCCATTTTTTTTCTTACTGAAGAAAGCTTGCATGATTAAATATCCCACCAAACTCCCCCGAATCTGAACACGTGGGAAATGCACAGACTGATGGGAACTCTCAAGTACAAAGTTCCTGCTGGAAACAAAAAAGTAGCAGTGCACAGTGGGAAAATCTCTTTGCCCTCCACTTTCTGAGTAGCTGTCCTCCTCCCCCTCTGCCTCTTGCCCGCATTTCCCAGGCTAGTGCAAATGCTTCTTTTCATCCTATGGTCTTATTGTTAGGAATCACTTTCTAAGCAAAAGCTAGCCCTGTCTCCCGCTTGCTATCCCGTTTGCATGCCACCCACAGCAGGAAGAGTTCCCACGGCTCCAGGGTCCCCCAAACCCCTACAAGGGGGAGGGGAAAGAGGCAACAGTGGTGGGGAGGAGAGAGCAGTGAACTCCTGATTTAAGGGATGGGGCTGTGATTATCCCCACTGCCAGCAGGTGCCCGTGGAAAACATTCCTTGGGGATCCGAGTGCTTAGCAACATGCTGTGGAGCGCAAACAGGGAAGAAGCAGATGGGACGTGAAAATAAACCAGGCATGGGGGACCCATATCCCCCCACCACAAGAGAACATAGGATCCGGATCACATTCCTAGAACCAGGAGATGTCTCCCAATCTCCTTGGAGGGAAAATTCCCTAGGAAGGAAACATTTGCTTGTTTACCTGTCAATTGTTTCCTGATAAGAGGTAGCTTTGCAGGATACCTGATTTAGGCAGAGAGAGATTGCTTTGGCTTCTTCATTGCATGAAAGGCTAACAGCAGAGGTCCCCAAACTTGGCAACTTTAAGACTTGTGGACTTGAACTCCCAGAATCCTGGGATTGAAGTCCACAAGTCTTAAAGTTGCCAAGTTTGGAGGCCTCTGGGCTAACTGTTCCATGCCCTTATCAAGGTCTTTTTCACATACCAAAACCAGGGGACAAAAAAGTCAGGAAATCAAAAACAGTTGATATTGACCAAATATTCTAGAGAGCCTGTTTTCCCCCATCTGCCTCGCTAAGTAATTTAAAGTCTCAAGGGAGGACATCAGATTCTAGATGAATCTCTCTGGATTATACTTGCTTAAAACTGATTCTCAGTTTCCTACTATTTTGATGCAGGACTATTCTGATGCAGGATACTAAAAAAACCTTAATGTAAGTCCTGAAAGCAAGCAGAACAAAGGAAAGCCATCACACGTAAGTCCTTGACTTACGACCACAGTTGAGCCCAAACATTGCTAAGTCGTTAAATGCCCCCATTTTACAATTTTTCTTGTGACAGTTGTTCAGTGAATCACTGCAGTTGTTAGTAACACACAGGGGTGGGATTCAAATTTCTTAACAGCTGGTTTTTATGAAAAAAGAGCAACTTTAACCCAAAATGAGGCAAAGCAGGTAGGCAGATTGAGTTGCTCCCAGAATCACAGATTCACTTCGAGATCTACCAGTCTGCAATCTGCTACCTGAGTCCGCACTGAAAAATAGAAGCTTCAGTCCTAAGGACTGTTCAGCTCTGCTTTTAGATTAATTAGAAAGCAAGAAATCCAATGATTTCCTGCTTTCTGGCTAATCTAAATCTCCCAGAACAGCTGATAGTCTGAACAGCTGATGGTTGGCGGGGGAAAAAAGGAAAAATAGCAACTTACCAAAAATTAGGTGAAGGCACAACCCAGGCAAGTTGGATGGCATGCATGCCAAGAAAGGAGTGTTTAGGTGGGGAGGGGAGTGGCCAGCCAGTGGCACAATTTGCTGGTTCTCTGAACTGCACAGAATTGTAACAACCGGTTCTATAGAACCGGTCCAACCAGGTAGAATCCCACCCCTGGTAACACGGTTGTTAAATGAATCTGGCTTCCCCATTGACTTTGTTTGTCAGAAGGTTGCAAAAGGGGATCACCTGACTCCTGGACACTGCAACCTTCATAAATACATGCAAATAGGTTGGCAAACATCCAAATTTTGATCATGTGACCATGGTAATTGGACTTTCTAAAAAGCACCTTTGGGACAACCAGGACCTGGATGACTGAGAATCTCCATAGACATTCAGGCATAAGCCATTGTTTCCAGTACCAGTGTAACTTGGAATGGCTATTAAACAAATGGTTGTAAGTTGAGGACTTCCTGTACTTCTTCTACAACAGGGTGGGAAAAAAAGGCTCTCCCACAACATTTTTTTGTCCAGGACCCCCTAAATCTCTTGCTGTAGGCTTCAGTCACAGAAAAGATGCCAACCCCAACTGCAGTGCATTTGGTGGGGTTAGCCAAGTCTAAGCCTTAGGACCAGGACTCCTGAGTTGCAGTGCTACACACTTTAGACCTAATAGTCAAACAACACCCCCACCCCCCAGAAACTGGTGTGCTTTGGCTTCTTTAACAAAAAATGAGAAAGGAGAGATAAGCTGGAAGTGTCACCAAAAGCACAGAACTGAACTAGAAGTGGCCAAGGTGTGGAGAAGACGGAGCAGTTCAGAAGGGAGGGAAGATAAATTACAGAGAAAGCGTTGCAGCCTTAGGGGTCTTTCAGTGGAATGTCAGGTATTCCTTTCCCTCTCCCTACCAGGTCTGCAGATTTGTCTCTTTTTTTCATGTCTTCCTTCTCTGATCTCTCCCCTTTCTATCCATCACTTTTTAACAGTCCTCTTGAAAAAAAAAATAACCCTAAATGGCATCCGGGATGGCCATCAGCTGCCAACCTTTCAGTACAATTTGTTATGACAGTTTCTAACTATTCAGCAGACGCTGGGAGTAGTTCCTCCAACTCAGGAGTCTCCAACCTTGGCAACCTTTAAGACTTGTGGACTTCAACTCCCAAGCCAGCAAAGCTGGCTGAGGAATTCTGGGAGTTGAAGTCCACAAGTCTTAAAGGTTGCCAAGGTTGGAGAGCCCTGCAGTCCAACTCATGCTTTTCTTTCTTCTCAGCCTGTTTGTTGTTCCTCCAGCATGAAGGAAGCAGGAAGGGACCCTTTCAGCAAAGAGAAACAGCCCTGTTGCCTTAGCCAAAGCTCCGAGATGAGCAATGTTTACCTGTTCAGATAATAGCAGCAATTACCATCAGTGAATGCAGCAATGAAGGGTACATGTCCCAGCTTATACCTGCGCTTAATGAGAGTAATGAAGCATTAACAACAGAAGTATTCTTCAAAATGTTGATGGGAAAATTGGTTTTCACAACATCGTTTTAGAAAGTTATTCCTAACCCCTGTAGTCTAGATTGTAGACTTTATATGGTGATTTATGTCATATAAGGAAAGCCTGCAACTGCTTGTTCATTTCAGCTCTTTTCCTCCAAACTTTTAACATTTTTGATCACCAGGATCACCCATCAAATAGTTGGTATTTGGAGATATTCCTAGAAGATATTCCAGAGGGGTCTTATTTAAAAAAAAAATCCATGAATTGAGACTCCACGTATGATCTCTTGTAATAAATGTTCTCTGTCCCCCTAGTTTTTGGTAATTTTATTTTGGGTTGTTGGTTAATTTCTATGTTATTTTTATACTGTATTAATTTAATATTATGATTGAAATTGAAGACAGGGCCTCATGAATATAAAAGTGTATGTGTATGTGTGTGCACAACCACACACATAGATCTCTTAGATCAGGCCTCTTAGACTATTATATGTTATACTATATGTTCAAATTGACCTTTTCTTCCAAACACTTTATAGTTTGATATACACGTGTAAAGTAGCTTTGTAGAACTCTGGTGGGATCACTGGAGATTTAATGGGGGAAGCTACACGTGACCTTTGAACTTTTTTAAATTCAGTAACATTTTCTCCAGAAAAAAAGATGAAATTAATAAATCAGATTGTGCTTAACTAAGCAGTGCTAAAGAGATTCTACAACCTGTTCGAAGTACAATCTGGGTGTCCACAGCCAATGAGACGAGGAAGGATGATCCTGTGATATCCATGCCTGCCTGATTAGGTCTGTTATGGCTGACTGACACTGACTAATCTTTGAGCCAGTGACCAACAACCTTTATCAACCCTCCTTTTCAGGGCTTTGCAATGAAGCAATATAAGGTCACTCTACTGACCTGGAACAATTCCCCGCCCCCAAATAAAATAGTGCAGTTTTGTTGTGCTTCCTATATTTTTTGGAAGCCAAGGTTGTGTGTGTGTGTGTGTGTGTGTGTATGTATACATACATATACATATACATAAAAATATGATAAAGACTCAGAAAACACAATTTGAATGGTAAGCCATCCAGAGTCATTGATTGTATTGACTATAGAAATCGAATAAATAAATAACATTGAGATGGGAAGTCTTGGGGCAGACCTGGCTATCATGGACGACATTAACTAGTGGTCAGAGGGGAGGAGGTTTGCCTGCACAGAGGATGTCACCTTGTAGAACTTAGACACTGTGGTGCAATCATTGGAGATTTAACAGGGGAAGCTACACAAGAAATGATGCTATAAGACTATTTAAATTTCTGTTGTTGGCTTTGGACTAGGGTTACCAGGATAACTTTATTATATGATCAAGAGAAAAAAATGAGGTACCATGATATTATGGTTCAATTGTAAACTCCAAGTAGTTCAGGGAGACTCAATCTTAGCTTATGAGGTCACTCGGGCGCAAGAATCAACTGCTTAATATTTTGCTGGGTAAAATTATTAATAATTAACATATTGATAGCAGCGGGACTATGCAACAAATTGGAAAAGGATTTTTGCATTATCCCTAGGCAAATGATTTAGTTCCTTTGAAATCAGACAAAAATAGTTAAATAGTCCAAAATCATTGTTAGCTGAAATAATAATGAGGCATGTACAATTGAACAAGAATTACTTTTTAATGCAACAGGTAAGGCTTAAACACTTTTTAATAATTTTGAAAAGAAATAAATTATAAGAAATTAAACAAAACCAGGCTTCAGCCTACATATCAAGGGGGAAAGACAACATATTAGGAAAAAAAAATCAGCCAATCTTCAGATTTCAGATTCTCTGTCAATGATCTGGAATGAGTCAATTTACTCTAACCTTATTCTACTCCGAAGGGCTGGCAGATTGGAGTCAGGAAAGACTGATCACAGGGAAGCCCAGATTTTGAGAGGAAAAAGAATATAGAAGTTTTTGGCCACATTATTCATCAGTTTTGTGATCCATGCGAACTGCCATCCTGCTTCTAGGCATGGGGGCTGCTGATTCGTGCCATTTATATCTGGGCCCTCAAGTTACCTGCTCAAAGCATTTTGCAAGGTGGGAATTACTTTAGTGTGTTGGGAAGGCATGCCAGAGCAGAACCAAGAGAAAGGTCTTCTTCCTGGTTTCTCCTGTGGCTTAGTCCCATAAAACCAGCAGACAGAAATTTCAAGTGTGGCTAGTAGAGCTGTGGAAGAAGCCCTATCTTGTGCCTGGCGATGACAAAGCTTTAGACTGCCTCGAGTAGGTAGGTGGTGTTATTACTATATGGTGATGGTTGTTAATTAATGAAGTTTGGAGTGAATCCCTGGTAGTGGATGCTTCCAAAGTTTGTGTGGCCCTGGCAGATGGTTTACTGGTGATTGAAGATGTTGCCTGTGATGACAGGTGAGGTTTTATATTCTGCTGCTTTGGGGTTTGAGAAAAGGATTTTGTTGTTCTCATTGTTGCAGAGCTCCTTTTGTTCACGGGAGAGACAACAGATGATGACTGAGTTGATGTCATGGAAGTTACAGATGACTGCTGTGTAGGTGTGAAGGAAAAATTGGTTGATGCCATCTTAGCAGTAGTAGTCTGAACTGAGATGGAAGATGTTTCCTGTGGCAAACGTCCAGAACTTGCTGGTGCCCCATGCTGTGGTTTTGTGGCTGAGGAGAAGGATGCAGATGTTGTAGGTGATGATTTATGGGCTGTTGTAAGATTTACATTATTAGTCCCTTGGGCAGGATTTGCTGCTTTTGAAGAATGAGAAATAGGAATATTAGTTGTTGAAGACACTGCACTGAGTTGCTTTGCAGTTTGGTTTAATGAGAGCCTTGTTGTCATGTTTTTTTCTACTGATGGTGCTTCAGTTGTTGTGATTGTTCCCACTGCTGGAGGATTGGATGGTGGAGATGCAGTGGTGGCTGCTGTGGTTGCTCCTAGTGATGGCAGACTGGTTGATGGCGATTTAGTGATGGTGGTTGTAGTTGTTTCCATTGACATTAGTTTAATTGCTTCAGTTATGGCAATTATTTCCAGTGTTGGAAGTTTGGTCAATGGAGATGCAGTGGTGGTTGCCATAGTTGCTTTCTGTAATGGCAGATCAGTTGATGACAATTCAATAACAGTGGCTGTAGTTGTTTCCACTGACGGTAGCTTGCTTGCTTCAGCTATGGCG